AAAAGAAAAAGATTACTCAGTATACGAGGTTAAGTGTATGGTAGGGTTATTATTTAAAGAATTAGAGGTAAAACAGAGATCAGAAATACAGATGAACAAGGAGGCTTTAGAATGCATAGGGGATGTGTAGATCAAGTGTTTACATTGAAGCATATAAGTGAATAATATTTAGATTAAGGTAGGGATGATTTCATTGCATTTATGGATTTAGAAAAGGCACATGACAGGGTGGATAGAAGAGCAATGTGGCAGATGTTGCAAGTGTATAGAAAAGGTAGTAAGTTATTAAATGCTGTAAAGAGTTTTTATGAGAATAGTGAGGCTCAGGTTAGGGTGTGTAGGAGAGATGGAGATTACTTTCCAGTACAAGCAAGCCTTAGACAGAGATGTGTAATGTCACCATGATTGTCTAAGATATTTATAGATAGAGTGGTAAAAGAAGTAAATGATAGGGTGTTGGGATATCAAATACAAAATGGGAGTTGACACAGTTACTTTCTGCTGATGATACAGTGATTTTGGGAGACTAGAGAAGTTGCAAAGGTTAGTGGATGAGTTTGGGAGGGTGTGTAAAGAAAGGTGAAAGTGGACATAGATAAGAGTAGGGTGATGAGCATATCAAATGAGTTGGGTAAAGAAAAACTGGATATCACATTGGAAGGAGAGAGAGGTTATGGAAGAGGTGAATCTTCTTTCAACAAATCGGCCATATCCCACCAAGGCAGGGTGGTCCAAAAGGAAAAACTGAAGTTTCTCCTTTTAAATTTAGTAACATATACAGGAGAAAGGGTTACCAGCCCCTTGCTCTTGGCATTTTAGTCACCTACGACATGCATGGCTTATGGAGGAAGAATTCTGTTCCACTTCCCCATGGAGATAAGAAATAAACAAGAACAAGAACTAGTAAGAAAATGTAAGAAAACCCAGAAGAGTGTGTATATATACATGCTTGTACATGCAAGTGTAGTGTGACCTAAGTGGAGGTTGAAGTAGCAAGATGTACCTGAAATCTTGCATGTTTATGAGAGAGAAAAAAAGCCACCAGCAATCCTACCATCATATAAAACAATTACAGGTTTCCGTTTCACACTCACTTGGCAGGACAGTAGTACTTCCCTTGGTGATTGCTGTCTACCAACCTACTACCTAGAGGAAGAAGTGAATGTGTTCATATATTTGGGAGTAGATTTGTCAGCAGATGGATTTATGAAGGATGAGGTTAACCATAAAACTGATGAAAGAAAAAAGGTCAGTGGTGTATTGGAGTATCTGTGAAGACAAAAAAAACATTATCCATGGAGACAAAGGGAATGTACTAGAGTATAGTGGTACCAACACTCTTATATGGCTGTGAAGCATGGGTTGTGAATACTGCAGTGAAGAGGAGACTGGAGGCAGTGGAGATGTTGTGTCTGAGGGCAATGTGTGGTGTAAATATTATGCAAAGAATTATTATGCAGAAATTAAAATTTTTATTTTTTTAATATGCCAGCTGTCTCCCACCAAGGCAAGGTGATCCATCATTCGCACAATATCACTGTCTTTGCAGAGGCACACAGATATGACAGTTTAGATGTCACTCCAAACAGCCAATATCCCAAACCCCTCCTTTTAAAGTGCAGGCAGTGTATGCCCCACCTCTAGAACTCAAGTCCAGCTAGCCAGTTTCCCTTAATCCCTTTACAAAATATTACCCTGCTCACACTCCAACACCTCATCAGGTCTCAAAACCCATTAGTCTCCATTCACTCCTATCTAACATGCTCACACATGCCTGCTGCATGTCCAGTCACATTGCACACAAAACCCTCTTTTACCCTCTCCCTCCATCCTTTCCTAAGATGACCCCTACCTCTTCTCCCCTCCACTATAGAGTTATACACGCTCCAAGTCCACTTATTTTGCTCCATCCTCTCTAAATGACCAAACCACCATTATAACCTGTCTTCAGCACTCTGAATAATACTTTTATTAACTCCACACCTCCTCCTAATTTCCACACTACGAATTTTCTGCAGTACAGTATATAAACTATATTCAAACAAATATTTGAATACTATTACTATACTTCAGTGGGATACAGCTGGTTTGTTAAAAGAAAGAAAGAAGAATACTATACTTAAAAATATAAACATTCTGAAAAATAGGGATAGGGAGAAAAAAATAAGATATTTTAGAAAATATTATACAAAGGGTGGAGACAGAGTTGCTGAGCTGGTTTGGACAAACAGAGGATGGAGCAAATAGGATGACTAAAAGAGCATATAAATCTGGGTAGAGGGAAGGAGTAAAGGAGGCTTTGAGTTAGCATGTTAGACAGGAGTAGAGGCAAGTGGTTTTTATATTTTGGCATGCTGTTGGAGTGTTGTGAGCAAGGTAACATTTGTGCAAGGATTCAGGGAAACCATAAATCACTTATTCAGGGAGCTTTACTCAAAGCAAGTAATAATGGTAACATACAAAAAAGCACCAAGTATTTTGCTAACTACATTATTTACTTCATTAAGCGAAATCAATGACACATTTCAGCAACAATATCTCCCCAAAAGTAATCTCAGATTATGGACAGTTTTTGTACTAGAGAAACACATTCCTCTTATGAAATGTTCATAAATGCAGCACAGTGAAGACTCTCAGATCTTCCCATATAAAGTACTTACCATTTTCCTTGAGAGTTTCTTTTGTTTTCTGTACTGGCTGGAATGCTGAAGAACCTGAAGATCCCAGGATTTTTGCTGTGCCATTACTTGTCAAGTTTTCTGGCTCCTTCTTAGTGGTCCCTTCTTTCTTAAGGTCTGCAAGTTTAACGCCATAGCCTGTTCCCTGAACTGGTTTTGGTTTTATTTCTGCTGATGATGAAAGTTTAGTAGTGAGGACTTTATAATGAATAAAAAAAATCTAGTCAGAACAAGAGTATGAACCCAGATTGTAATATAACAGCATGAATCCAGATTATAATATAACAGCATGAACCCAGATTGTAATATAACAGCATGAATCCAGAGTGTAATATAACAGCATGAACCCAGATTGTAATATAACAACATGAACCCAGATTGTAATGTAACAGCATGAGCCTAGATTGTAATATAACAGCATGAGCCCAGATTGTAATATAACAACATGAACCCAGATTGTAATATAACAGCATGAACCCAGATTGTAATATAACAACATGAACCCAGATTGTAATATAACAACATGAACCCAGATTGTAATATAACAGCATGAACCCAGATTGTAATATAACAACATGAACCCAGATTGTAATATAACAGCATGAACCCAGATTGTAATATAACAGCATGAACCCAGATTGTAATATAACAGCATGAACCCAGATTGTAATATAACAGCATGAATCCAGATTATAATGTAACAACATGAACCCAGATTGTAATATAACAGCATGAGCCCCGACTGTAATATAAAAGCATTAGTCCAGATTGCTCCATGGTCAGTGATATACAAAGCCTAAAGCATAAACAGTGTGTATTACTGTAAACCATTTTACAACATGACTTCACACTGCCCAATTTTGTTGTAATGCAGTTGATAAAGTGCAGCCAAATAGTAGAAGAGCATGAGAATCTTGATATTATGCACTGTCAAGTGTTAAAATATCAGCTAGCATAAAAAATATTGGTACTACATATCACAAAATCTGAGTACTACACTCCATGGTACATAACTCTTTCCTTCCACTAACAACCCAAGCAACCTATAGATGGAATCTGAAAATGTCTACCTCACTCAATGTTTATCAAGTTATTTTGGATATTTTCATCACTATCTGATCTCTGTATATTACCCACAATACCAAAGAGAAATATTAGTGATGCTGGAGGTATTAACCCTTTCAGGGTCAATAGGCCCTCTCCCAGACTTGTTCTCAGGGTCAACAAATTTTCGAAAAAAAAAAAAAATTTTTTTCTTATGAAAAGATAGAGAATCTTTTCCCGATCATAATGACACCAAAAGTATGAAATTTGATGGAAAACTTACAGAATTATGCTCTCACGAAGTTAGCGGTCTCGATGATGTTTACGCATCGGCAGTTTTGCCCACTTCGAGCCCTATTTTCGGCCAATTCCAGTGTACTAGTTGACAAAAATCATAACTATTTCGCTAGAACTCCATTTTTTCTATTGAATGAGTACAAGAAACCACCCATTTACCGATTTCAACTATCCAATAAAGTGGTCAGAATTTAGCAATTTTGCCAATTTCACAAATTTCAAAAGATGCCAATTTCCAAATAGGGTCCAGAATAAACAAGAAAGACATTCCTGGCACTAAAATAACATTTCCTCTGTTCATTAGTCACGTCCCCATGCCCCTCTTACATTCTTTTGCTTTCCACTTTGAATTTTTATTCTCACAAAAAATAGAAGATTTATTGTTATGCTGACTACTGCATTAGTGTAGAAATGGTATAAATAATATCAGCGCACTTGTGAAAGAATATTAGACTCACCAGTTGATGTGTATTAGACGCGTAGCATGATTTGTTTACTTTTGAACTTTGGCAAAAATCGAATATTTCTGCTATTTTGAGCTCAATTTTAAGGTACTTTTCATTGTAAAACCAATCAAAATCGCCTCAATTTCTGTAATACGTCTTCCATTCTATAAAATGAGACCAGAAAAACTAGAATACCATCATAAATACCATACGAAAATACAGTGCAAAGTCACTGTTTTAAACCAAAAACACTGTTAAAGTTTTTTTTTCTCATTACGCACTGTGTGCTGCAGGATTCTTTTTATACTGCGCACACTGACCACATAAACCCATTATTTCATATGTAGGCCTACCAGCTTTCTCTCACTAAATTTGAGGGTGCTAGAATTTAAGCGTACTAGCACGTCAAAAACCCTGGTGCATAAGCCATACTAGTACATCAGAAACCCTGAAAGGGCTAAGAACAATAAAGAAAATGGAAGTGTTAGGTATGGAAACAGTCCATGAGGTTTGTGTGAATGAATCAACCATCTGTAAAATTAGAAATGATGAGAGAAAAAATAAGAGCTTGTGCAGTAAGTAGTACAAATTGTCACCTGTTCAAAAGAATGACAGGAAGCTCACTAAAAAAAAAAAAAGAAAAAAATTAAAAAAATTACCAGATGAGTAAAATGAAGAAAAACAAAGAAAAGGTTTTCAGTTAGTGCTCAGATAATAGTGCACAGAACTCTATTATATTATAAAACTGTATAAGAAGGATGGTAAGCTTCCACAATAATATACTGTATGTTTACTGCTGGATGGTTTAAAAGTTTTGAAAAAAAAAAGCAACTACCTTTATGACACAGTTTTCTGGTCAGCACTATAAAATACTGCAGGGTAAACATGCCCAAGATGCATTATAGAATACCTGATTGCACTAATACAACTATCATCGAATGATAACTCTGTATATTCACATGAATACAAGAACCACATTCATATACCTCACCTCTGTGGGCCCACATTAACCCTCTTCACACTCTTCCAACTCAAAAATAAACCACTACCAGAATGTAAAGAGCACTGTACAGTAACAGTTTTCACCTAATACAACAGTAATAAACAAGTCTGGAAAATATGGAGGTGTATAGAATATAACCCTATATTTTCTCCTATGTTATTTACTTCAAGCAATGTTATTTTAAATTACAAACCAATTTTCAGGAACATAAATCATACGTTATGAGGGGGTTTGCTATAGTTGTCACAGGTCTAGATTAAACACATTTCCTAAGTTACAGCTTCTACCCTACAACATAGGAGAATACACAAATTATTATGAAATAATTTATACATAAATATAGCATCCAAGAAACCTTAAATCTGTTCCTCCAGAGTATAGGTGCCCTTATAGACAGGCACGCACACCCTAAACCACCACATACTACAAGGCAGAAAAAATAATCTAACGGCATGTCATCAAGCACTTAGGCAAATTGCAGACTTTTTGACCTAATATTCTGTTAGCCAAGTACCACAGTTCTGTATGTATAATACCAGGTATTAGATGGAAATTTAGTTTGTACATCTTTGGTTGAGGTTTTAGAAAAGCTTGATCCAAGTTGTTCAAATGCTCTTCAAGCTCCTCCAGAGGTGGTTTTTCTCTACCAGTTAAGGAAATTATATATACTCCCGAGTGGCATTTAACAGCTTAACAGGTCTCCCCAGAGTACCCCAAATTTACAATATCACTCATCAAATTAGTTTTTCTTATATGCTGTGCAAAGTTAATGTGATTTACATGTAATAAAACCTTGTTAGGCCCAAAGAAAGCCACTAGTATGCAACCACATGTTCTTCAGCACAGTTTTAAACTTAAAAGTTACACACTTCTGCAAGTTAGGTTCTAACCCCCTCCATAGCCAGGGCCTGCAGGAATGAATTTACCTGCAAATTAAGACCTGCATCAGTCTCCATCAGCAGCACAATGTCATCAGTGAGAGGGAGCCAGAATGGGAATCTTTTGGTCATATCCATGAAGTGTTTTACCTTAGTTGTTATCCAGGGCCATTAATGCCTCATTAACTACCATTTAAATCAAACAAATGAGAAACGATTGCTGTTTCACCCCTTTATTTATATGGCCACTTCTGCCAAACAAGACAGTCATGGCTCCTTCATAGATAGACATAATATATCTTATTACTACTTTGAAGGCTCAATGATTATACAAAGCTCTGCATACAAATGAATGGTAGATAGCATCATGCGCCTTCTTGATATCCAAAAACAATGCAGACAATGGTTTGAGAGGTTTCTTACTTGAATCCAGCAATAACACAGTCTGTGCTAAACCACTGGTGGGAAGATATTTTTGTGCAAGGAAGATCAGAACCAACTTTTACTCAATGAAACACCCTTTTTTTTTTTTTTCAATACATCAGCCATTTCCCACCAAAGCAGGGTGATCCAAAAAAAAAAGAAAAAACTTTCACAGTCGTTCAACACTTTCACCATCATTCATACATAATTACTGTCTTTGCAAGGGCACTCAGATACAACAGTTTAGATGTCCCTCCAAACAGCCAACATCCCAAACCCCTCCTGTAAAGTGCAGGCACTGTACTTCCCACCTACAGGACTCAAGTCTGGCTAACTGGTTTCCCTGAATCCCTTCACAAAATATTACCCTGCTCACACTCCAACAGCTCGTCAGGTCCCAAAAACCATTCGTCTCCATTCACTCCTATTAACACACTCACGCATGCTTGCCGAGAGTCCAAGCCCCTTGCCCACAAAACCTCTTCTACCCCCTCCCTCCAACCTTTCCTAGGATGACCCCTACCCCACCTTCCTTTCCCTACAGATTTATACACTCTCCAAGTCATTCTATTTTGTTCCATCCTCTCTAAATGACCTTTAAATTCCACGTATTTTGTAGGTTGCTGTAAATTCCATGCGTTTTGTAGGTGGCTATAAATTCCATGTGTTTTATAGGTGGCTGTAAATTCCATGTGTTTTGTAGGTGACTCAATCCATGTGTTTTGTAGGTGACTATAAATTCTGCCATACATGCTCATCAATTTCAAAAGACCCCTTCCCCTCACCCAAATTTAGGTCATTTTCAGCAATCTGCTAAGATATGTTTCTCATATAAAACCACTACACGACTACAATGATTCAGAACTCAGAAATTAATTCCTTATAATCAGTCTGTCTCTGATGACCTTTAACTGTGTCCACAGCATGCTGGCTATGACTATGATGAAGTAAATCATTAACCCCTAGGGGGGATAGCTTGACTGGCATCAGTTGTCCGTACAATTACAGTAGTCCCCGGTATCTGCAGGTGATACATTGCAAGATTTTCAGTGGATACTGGAACTGCAGACTGTAGCAAAC